TGGGCATCCATGGGAGCTGGAGGGGTGATGGGGACTCTCAAGAGCACCCAGTGGGTGCTTGGTGGCTCTGCCTTGGTTTCCACCCAAGGTTCCCGTTGCTGGTTGGGACCCTGGGGTGCAATGGGAGCTGATGCTGTGAGATGGGGGGCATCAGGAACGCATCCCCCTGACCACATCCTCTGCAGTCCTATGGGCTGTGGGACCATGAGGAGCACCTCATCCCCAAGAAGAAGGCGGAGCGGGTGGAGGATGAGGGAGAGGAGGAGAAGAAGGAGGAAGCAGAGTCCCCGCTGCTGGTGGTGAATGAGGAAGGGACGGAGGCACCGGCAGAGCCAGGGGCACCAAGCACAGCTGCGGAGCCGGAGCCAGAGGGTGATGCTGTGGGGCAGGATGAGGAGGCGAAGGCCGCCCAGCTCCGCTTCAGGAGGAGGAGGTGGCAGCGGAAGAAGCAGCCAAAGGTGTCTGTAGAGGAAGGTGAGCACCAGCCCCCCTTTGCACCCTGGTAAGGGGCAAGGCTGCTTTCCCCTGGGGCAGAGGGTGCTGCTGCCGGGCAGGATGCGGCCCTCCAGGGCCCTGGCTGTCACCCATGCTGTGCATCACTTGCAGAGGCTGGGAATGAAGAAGCAGAAGAAGAGGAAGAGGTAAAACAGAGCCATGCGCAGAGGAAGCTGAAGACGTTCGGGCTGCGGGTCAAGCTCTTTTTCGTCACCATGTGAGTGCCCTGTGGTGCTGGAAGGGGTGCGGGACGCGGGGTGCAGTCCCTGGTAACCCATACCTTTTATCCCTTGTCCCTCCAGGGCACAGAACATGTACCAGCCGGTGCGCAGGTTCTTCTGGGACATCCTGCACACTGAGCACCGTGCAGCCACCGACGTCTACGCATTCATGTTCCTGGCCGACGTGGTTGACTTCATCATCATCATCTTCGGCTTCTGGGCCTTCGGGGTGAGCAGGGGGTACCCACAGGGCTGGCTCCCACTGCAGGGTCAGGCTGGGGCGTATCCTGACCTCTCCTGCATCCCCAGAAACACTCTGCAGCCACCGACATCACCTCCTCGCTGTCGGATAACCAAGTACCGGAGGCGTTCCTGGTCATGCTGCTCATCCAGTTCACCACCATGGTCATCGACCGCGCGCTCTACCTCCGCAAGACCGTGCTGGGCAAGCTGATCTTCCAGGTCATCCTGGTCTTCAGCATCCACCTCTGGATGTTCTTCATCCTGCCGGCTGTCACGGAAAGGTACCGAGCACCCCTTGGGGATGCCAGGGTACAGCCTGGTCCTTGGGTGGCCCCTGGGGTGGCACCGTTGTGTCCCCAAGCCCAGCCTGGCTGTGGAGGTGGCCGGAGGGGTGACACCTCCCTCCTGCAGGTTGTTCAGCCTCAACACCGTGGCGCAGCTGTGGTACTTTGTGAAGTGCATCTACTTCTCGCTGTCAGCCTACCAGATCCGCTGCGGGTACCCGACGCGCATCCTGGGCAACTTCCTCACCAAGAAATACAACCACCTCAACCTCTTCCTCTTCCAGGGGTACGGCACGGGGCCACGTGGACCCCCAGGCACACACAGGGTGCTGCACCAGCCCCCTTTCCCTGGGTCATAGAGTCATAGAACAGTTTGGGTGGGAAAGGACCTTAAGATCATCCAGTTCCAACCCCCTGCCACGGGCAGGGACACCTTCCATTAGGGGAGGTTGCTCCAAGCCCAGTCCAATCTGGCCTTGAACACTGCCAGGGATGGAGCCTTTAACCACTTTTGGGCAAGAAGATTTATGATTCTATGAATGTCCCTACCCAGGTTTCTATAGGATTATATAGGATTCTATGAGTGTGTTCCCCCGCAGGTTTCGCCTCGTGCCCTTCCTGGTGGAGCTGCGGGCTGTCATGGACTGGGTCTGGACAGACACCACGCTGTCCCTGTCCAACTGGATGTGTGTGGAGGACATCTATGCCAACATCTTCATCATCAAGTGCAGCCGTGAGACAGAGAAGGTGCGTCCCCACCATGCTGGGAAGGGCCCTCCAGTAACCCCGTGTTGCTTGGGGTCCCCTTGAGCCCACCTGGCACTGTGTGCTGTCCTCCCCCTGCAGAAATACCCCCAGCCCAAGGGGCAGAAGAAGAAGAAGATCGTCAAGTATGGTATGGGGGGCCTCATCATCCTCTTCCTCGTGGCCATCATCTGGTTCCCGCTGCTCTTCATGTCACTGATCCGCTCCGTGGTGGGTGTTGTGAACCACCCCATCGACGTCACCGTCACCCTCAAGCTGGGGGGGTACGAGGTGAGGATGCAGGCGGTGGGTGCTGTGGTACCCAGCCCAGATGCTGGAGACCCCTGCCCAGCTGATGGCACCTTGTCCCCCTGCAGCCGCTGTTCACTATGAGCGCCCAGCAGCAATCCATCCAGCCCTTCACGCCACAGGACTATGAAGCCCTCACCCATAAGTTCGAGAGGCAGCCGGTAAATCCTTCCTCCCCCATTGCAGAATCCCCCTCCCGCCCCCAGCTCCATCCTGCTGGGGTTGGGGTGTCCTTGGGTGGGTGCTGAGCCGTGTGTCCCCCCAGGTTGCCATGCAGTTCATCACGCTGTATGGCTATGAGGACATCGTGACAGCGCGCATCGAGGGCAGCTCAGGCTCGCTCTGGAGCATCAGCCCCCCGAGCAGGGAGCAGATGCGGAGGGAGCTGCAGAACGGCTCCTCAGACATCACCCTCCGCCTGACCTGGACCTTCCAGAGGTACTGCAGGGCACGGTGTGGGGCACGCAGCGCCTCCTGAGCCCCATGGCACTTACACGGAGCCTGTGCTGTCCGCAGGGACCTGGGCAAAGGGGGCACGGTGGAGCACACCTTCGACAAGCACAGCATTGACCTGCAGCCCGGGGCGCCCCAGCGTGAGCAGCTCGCACAGCTGCTGCAGGGCACCCGCACTACGCCGGTGTGAGTATCCCAGGGGGTGAGGATGATGCCCCCATGTCAGCGGGACGGTGCCCCCCTCACTTATCCCCCTCTCTTGTAGGGAAGTCCCCAGGCTCTTCCCCAGATACATCCGGGCGCCCAATGGCCCTGAAGCCAACCCCGTGAAGCAGCTGCTGCCAGGTAGGTCCTGCCGTGGTGTGTTCTCCCCTGTAAGTACTCAGTGCTGGGGGCACACAGATGCAGGTTGGGTGGAGAAGTGATTCACAGCAGCCTGAGGAGCACTTGGGGGTGTTTGTTGATGAGAAACTGAACGTGAGCTGCTTCAGTGTGAGCTGAGCCCAGAAACCCCTCGTGTGCTGGGCTGTGAGCACCGCAGATCCTGCCCCTCTGCTCTGCTCTTGTGAGACCCCAGTTGCAGCACTGTGTGCAGTTCTGGTGGCCTCAACATAAGAAGGACATGGAGCTGCTGGAGCAATGCCAGAGGAGCTCACGGGGATGCTCAGGGGCTGGAGCACCTCCTGTATGGAGACAGGCTGAGGAAGTTGGGGCTGTTCAGCCTGGAGAACAGAAGGCTGCGTGGAGACCTCATAGCAGCCTTCCAGTGTCTGAAGGGGGCTACAAGGAACCTGGAGAGGGACTCTTCGTCAGGGACTGCAGTGATAGGACAAGGGGTGATGGGTTCCAACTGAAACAGGGGAAGTTGAGGTTAGATCTTAGGCAGAAGCTCTTCCCTGTGAGGGTGCTGAGGCGCTGGCACAGGGTGCCCAGAGAAGCTGTGGCTGCCCCATCCCTGGCAGTGTTCAAGGCCAGGTTGGACACAGGGGCTTGGAGCAACCTGCTCTAGTGAAAGGTGTCCCTGCCTGTGGCAGGGGTTGTAACTGGATGGGCTTTAAGGTCCCTTCCAGCAGAAACCATTCTATCACTGTGCATGCTCCCTGCAGACGGGGAAGACAGCTACCTGGACGTGGAGGTGCAGCTGAAACGGGAGCTTGCAGGCGCCAGCCAAGGGGGTAGCAGCTTCGTGGAGTGGTGGGTGGTGCGGCTGAAGGATGCCCCTAGCAGCATCAGCAACATCCTCCCCATGGTCATCTTCAACGACAAAGTCAGCCCCCCCAGCCTGGGCTTCTTGGCTGGTTACGGGTACGTGGATGGGGATGCATGAGGGGCACAGAGCGGCTGCACCTAAGGGCAGGGGGGTTACAGGGTGCGTGCGTCCCTGTATCTTGCAGGATCATGGGGCTGTACGTCTCCATCGTGCTGGTGATCGGGAAGTTCGTGCGGGGTTTCTTCAGCGAGATCTCGCACTCCATCATGTTCGAGGAGCTGCCCTGCGTGGACCGCATCCTGAAGCTGTGCCAGGACATCTTCCTGGTGCGGGAGACGGGCGAGCTGGAGCTGGAGGAGGAGCTCTACGCCAAGCTCATCTTCCTCTACCGCTCTCCCGAGACCATGATCAAGTGGACACGGGAGAAGGAGTAAAGGGGAAGGGGCTCCAGACCTGCGCCCCTTTCCCTTCCCAAGGACATCACCACCAATGCCTTAACCAGCCCCGCACGCTGGGGCTGTATCCTGCCAGGGCACACAGTGGGACACGGGGCTTTCGGTGCTCGCTTTTAGGGGGGATGTTTTTCTTATGTTGCTTTGAAGCACCGTCTGACCTGCAGAAACCCACTCTGTGCCTTCCCAGGGAGGGGGACAGGAGCCGGACACCCCCCCACCCCATGGGTACCCCTGGCTGCAGAGCAGGGGGGAGGCAGGAGCCAACCTGTGCCTCCCCACTGCTCTCACCAACCCCGTCCAGAACCAGGTTAAACTCAAAAGCAATAGGCCCCCCAGCCCCAGGATGGGGGGCCCTCGGTTGTGGCTCTCCCCTAGCTAGGAGGGGGGGGGGCCGGCAGCCCCAGCTGGACTCTATAGACACTTACCGTGATGTTGGTTTTGTTGGTTTATTTTTTGTATTATTAATTCAAATGGTTTATTTATACAAATATCTAATAAAACAAAGCTGAGGCCTGGCGGAGTGATGCTCAGCTGGGGGGGGTGGGGGTGTGTGTGTCTGGGGTGGGACTAGGAACCTATTGCTTTAGGGGGTTCCAGCACCCTTGCCTACCCCAGATGGGGCTGGGGGCTCTCCCTGCTCCTCAGGTGTAACCAAAATGAGGTATAAAAGCAACTACTTGGGTGCCAGCGGTGCCCAGGGGCTCCCCACCATCCTACAGGGCACCCCTGGGGGGCTGGCACCCTGCCCCACTGGTGCCCCAGAGGGATTTGGCGCTGTGTCCCCCACTGTCCCCAGCCCTTTCAGCTCTTGCCAAGCTCCTTGTCCTCTGGTGGAACCTCCTGGTTCTGCTGCTGCATCTCGGCACTGCAGGGAATACACACTGGATGGATGGGTGTGTGGGTGGATGGATTATGGATGGATGAATGGACGGATGGATGGGGGGTGGACAGGTGAATGGTGGATGGATGCATGTGGCATCAGGAGGGTGCTGAGATAGCAGGGAAGGGATCCCCCCATCCCCATTACCTGCGGATCCTGCGCTGGGCTTCAGCACGCACATAAGGCGGAAGCGTGGTGACAGGACCCTGTAAGAGAAGAGCTGTGGGTATGGGGACCCCTGTTCCCAAGGAAAACACCCCACTGCACACCAAAAGCCTTACCAGCTCCTTGAAGGTGAGGCGGCAGCCGTAGCACAGCAGCGGGATGTAGGCAGATTTGTGCTCAGCCCTGAAGGGACAGGGACCCTGAGTGGTGGCCCTGCTGCCAACACAGCATCCCCCCCTTGCCCCACATGCTCACCCTGCTGCCAGGGGGTCCTGGCAGCACCCATTCCTCTCCATCTCTGGCTCATCTATGATCAATGTGGGCTCCAGGGCCAGCTCCTCCTCTACAAGAGCCAGAGGGCACAGGTGTGATTTGGGGATGCACCGTGCCCCCAACCTCCTGATCCCCCCCATTGCCCTCCCCACTCACCCCCATCGAGGTCCAGGGCACACAGGCAGAGCAGGCAGCGCTCGGACTCGCAGCTCGGCTTGGCTAGATCTGCGCTCAGCTTCTCACCCGTCCTGCAGACAACACAGGGAGGTGAGGGGTGCACCCCCTTGCCCCCCCATACCACCCCATAGTGCCCCCACAGAGGGGATGCTCTACCGGTAGACGGTGCTGATGGTGGAGGGGAAATCCTTCTGCAGCCCCATGAGGAAGTGCTCTACCACATGGCGGATGCTGGGCTTATCCCGGCGCTGCAAGGGCAAACAGAGAGGGCAGGGATGGGAGAAGGGGTCCCAACCTCACCATGGGGACGTGGAGCTTGGGATCCACCCCATGCAGACCAAGGGACACCCCTACCTTGGTGGGGAGCGGCGGTGCAATGACGGTGGGGACATTGAAGAAGTGGTTGTAGAAGGCAATCTCCTTGGCCGTGTACTCCCGCAGGGGACGCACCACCATCACATCACCGTGGCGGTCGTCCTTGAAGCCCTGTGGGTGCGTGGCTTGATGGGGGACCATGGCAGCACCAAGTCACAGAACCCGGGTCCACGGCATCATCGCTCTGGGTGGGAATGGACACCCCCAGCTAGAGGACAGGGTACCAGCTGGCTGCTCACCGTGTCGACGGCAAGGAAAGCACCACGACCCAGCGCCAGGTTGGTGAGGAGCTTGATGGCCACACATGTACAGGTCTCACCGGTCATCACCTTGGTGTAGCCCTTGGTCCGGGCTGTCTGCAGGATGAGGTGGATCCTGGGGACAATGTGACACCAGCTCAGAGCCACCGCGCAGTGCCCGGTGCTGGGTCCGGGCAGGATAAGCCACTCACCGCAGCATCTGCAGCAGCTCCTCTTTTGCTGTCAGTGTCTGCACAGCCTCAAAGACTTTCAGCAGCTCCTGGGTGAGGGCAGCAGCAGGCAGGCGGGGGGCAGCCGGGGGACCCTCCGGTGACTCCCCACTGCCAGGGCCAGGCGGCGAGGTGCCACTGTCCTTGTCCCCGTACCCCTTCTGCCGCTGCTGCTGGATGAAACCCTCCACAGCCTCCTTATAGGACACACTGGGCTCACTGGGTGTCACCGGCCCAGGGCGCAGGATGGATGCGGGCAGCTCCAGCGCCTATGGGGCAGAGATGGACACTGGGAGGGTGGTATGGGGATAGCCAAGCATACCCCTTTACTCCAGCGTGTGTGTCCCTCACCACCCATGTACCTGCTCCAAGTGCACCAGGTAGTAGGGGAAGCCGGTTGCCTGCAGCAGGGTCTCCATGCAGGCCAGGCTCTGCTCCCGCTGTGCCGGGCTCTGCCCACGCACCGCTCCCTCTGCGAGGCAAGTGGGCACCACCAGTGAGGAGAGGAGGGGGCACCCATCCCATCCCTGGGGGACCACAGCCCCCAGCCCTGGGGGACCCTGTACTGGGAGTGGGGGTAACCCCTACCATCAACGTAGACGACACCAGGGATGAAGCGGAGCTTCTTGGCTGTCTCCCGGCTGAGCCCCTGCCAAAGGCACAGGGTAAGGCGGGTGCTTGAGTTGTGCCCCCCTCCCCAGACCCTCTCATCACCCCCATTCTCACCTCCTGGACCTGCCGGAGCATGGCACTGGAGGCTGGGCCCCCCGACACCGCCAGCAGCACCTATGGTGACATGAGGGATGGTGACCGGTGCTGCTGCCACCGCTCAGGTCAGCCCCACACGTGTGCACCCCAATCGGTACCTTCTCTCCCGGGAAGATGATGCGGTTCTTGCCCAGCATCGCGCGGAACTTGTGCACGAAGTACTCGTGGAAGCAGTTGCTGCAGGGACGCAGCCCTAAGCCATGGCGTGTTCCACAGCCCCCAGGTCCCCCAGCCCCAAAGCCCTCAAGGCCCCTGTCTCCAAGCCTTGATGTCCCAGAGATCCAATGCTCCCAAGCCCAGACTTCCCAGTGACTCAGTGCCCGCAGTCACTGATACCCCAGAGACCCAATGTTTCCAAGCCCCAAATCCCAGAGACCCGAAGTCCTCAACCATTGATATCCTCGAGATGCAATGTCCCCAAGCCCCAACATCCCACACACCAAACATCCCCAAGCCTCCATGTCCCAAACACCTGAGCTCCCCGACTTCTAACGTCCCAGGGACCCAACGTCCCCAAGCTCCAACACACCCAAGCCTTGCTGCCCCAAAGAACTGATGTCCCCAGCCCTCAACATCCCAGGGACCCGATGCCCCCAACCATTAACGCCTCACACACCCCACGTCCCAAGCCCCGATGTCCCCAGCCCCGCATCCCCGCACACGGCAGCCCCTCACCGGCAGAAGGGGTCCCCGACGCGGATGATGAGTGCGGCGGAGCCCTTCCCGCACTTCATGCAGGTCCGCGGGTGGCTGCGGGGACACGGCCGGTAACGGCAGCACCGGGGACACCGCACCCCGGGGGCGGCAGCGATCCCGGTACCGGGGACGTTACCAGGGGGTTAGGGAGGGGGTGAGCACCAGGGGGCAGCACGGGGTGGGGTGGGGGGGGGCACTGTGGTACCGGTGGGGGGGATACGGAAGGGGTACCGGGGATAGCACCGGCTCGCGGACCGCGCTCCCACCTCTGTCCCTCGCCCCGGCGGCGCCGCGCCGGCCCCATGTCCGCTCCGCACCCTCCGCCGTCCCCCGCCGCCTCGCACATGGTCCCGGCCCGTCCCGTCCGGTCCGGTCCCGTCCCACCCGTCGGGGCGCACGGCGATGACGCAGCAGCGCGCCGCTGGCCCCGGTTCCGTCCCCGCCTCCCCGCCGCCGCCGCCATGTTCCGGAGCCTGCTGGTGGCGGCGGCGCAGCGGCCTCAGGCCCCGGGCGGGTCCCCGCGGCCGCCCCCCGGCCCCGGCCCCGCGGGCGAGGCGCTGGAGGCGCAGTTCAGCTGCCCCATCTGCCTCGAGGTGTTCCACCGCGCCGTCGGCATCGCGGGATGCGGACACACGTGAGCCGGGGCCCGGGGCGGCGGCGGCGGGGACCCCGGCCCGGCCCGGCCCGACCCAGAGCCCGCTTGGCGCTCCCCCAGCGCACCGGGGCCTCTGTCCCGTGACCCGGCCGGCACCGGTCCCGTCCCGGTACCGGGATCCCCCCCCATCCCCACCCCGTACCCGCGGTCCGGTACCGGTGTCCCCATGCCACCGCCCCATCCCGGTACGGAGACCTCCATCAGCTGACGCCTATCCCCCCCTACCAGCCTGCTGGGGGGACCCTCATTGTTCCTTCTCCATTCAGCCCGGTACCGGTACCCTCCATCTCCCCTACAGCCCGGTACCGGTACCCTCCATCTCCCCTACAGCCCGGTACCGGTACCCTCCATCTCCCCTACAGCCCAGTACCGGTACCCTCCATCTCCCCTACAGCCCGGTACCGGTACCCTCTATCTCCCCTACAGCCCGGTACCGGTACCCTCCATCTCCCCTACAGCCCGGTATCGGTACCCTCCATCTCCCCTACAGCCCGGTACCGGTACCCTCTATCTCCCCTACAGCCCGGTACCGGTACCCTCCATCTCCCCTACAGCCCGGTATCGGTACCCTCCATCTCCCCCACAGCCCGGTACCGGTACCCTCCATCTCCCCTACAGCCCGGTATCGGTACCCTCCATCTCCCCTACAGCCCGGTATTGGTACCCTCCATCTCCCCCACAGCCCGGTACCGGTACCCTCCATCTCCCCTACAGCCCGGTACCGGTACCCTCTATCTCCCCTACAGCCCGGTACCGGTACCCTCCATCTCCCCTACAGCCCGGTACCGGTACCCTCCATCTCCCCCACAGCTCGGTACCGGGGCCCCCCAGCAGCTCCATCAGCACCGGGTGCGTTGCACCCATCCTGAAGCCCGTTTCCCCCCTGGGGAGCTGGGTGCTGCCTTGTTCCCCCACTGTGTGCACCCGAGGGTCTTAACTCCATTGATCACCTGAACCTTGCCCCTCTGTGCCCACACCTGGTTCCTGCCCCCAGTGTCAGCCCGGGTCTAACCCGATGGGAATCCTGCCCTGACCCCACAGGTGCTGTGCACCGTTCCCATTGCCCCCGGTACATGGTGAAAGGCTGAAGTGCTGCCTTGGGGAGCAGGGGTCTGCTTGTCCCCCTTTCCCATCCTGTTCCTGGGGCATCTCCCCTTGTATGGTCTCGCTCTTCCCCCCATCTCCAGCACATTTGGGGCTGGGGGTGCTTCCTGGGGTGATGGCAGTGGCGTGGGGCAAGGGGCACTGTGGCTGTCCCTCAGCAGGGGCTCGGCAGCAGCATTTCATTCCCCCGTTGTGGGTGACGTGAGCTGGGCTGGCAGCGGAGGGGATGGGGATGCCGTGACCGTTGACTTTGTGGAGACGGAGCTGCTTTGCCTTGTGCCTGGGGGTCCCTTTCTGTGCTTGCTCTCCGCTGCTTTGATTTCTCATCCCTGCTGCTGCAGGCATAAGGACCTTGAAAGGAGGTGAACCGGGCTCTGATGTGCTCACTGCCTTTATTCCTGCGTGGCCTCAGTGCTCAGCACCAGTTGTTGTTTGGCTCTGTTCAAATCCACTCCCAGCCTCAGGTCTCAGTGCCTCAGCAGTGCCTCCCCCCCCTGCACCCTGTCCCAGGCTCCCAGTTCTCCCACTGGAGATGCTGATCCCTGAGGTTTGGGGCTGCTCTGCAGCCTGGGGTGTCCTGGGGCTGGGGTCCCCCTTCTCCTCCCTACATCAGGTTGCTGAGTGTCGCTCTCTGTGCCCCCAGCTTTTGTGGGGAGTGCCTGCAGCCCTGCCTGCAAGTGCCATCCCCTCTGTGCCCGCTCTGCCGCATGCCCTTCGATCCCAAGAAGGTGGAGAAGGCTTCCAGTGTGGAGAAACAGCTTTCGTCCTACAAGGCTCCCTGCAGAGGCTGCAGCAAGAAGGTAAAGCTCATGGGGGAAGGCTGCCCGTACCCATCCTACTGCCTGTCCCATGGCCGGAGGTCACTTGCTGTTGGTGGTTGGGATTGTGGGGGCCTCTGTTCGGAGTGTCCCCTCTTCAGTGTGGCCCCACATTGTGCCCATGAGGTCCCCTACGTGTCGCTGCTGCTGCCATGAGCCAGGCAAGCGGGGCTGTGTGGAGATGAAGGCACTCTCTCCTAGCTGCCTTTGTCAGCAGACTGGAGCTATTATTAGACAGTGGGGACCTTCAAAAGCAGGCTGAGGTTTTCCTGCAACACAGGAGAGGCTGAGGCAAACCAGCTCTGCTCCAAATGAGGGTAAGGATTTAGCTCTTGCTTAAGGTGCTGCAATCCCAGCGGCTGTGGGGAAGCTGAACCAGCAGCATGGCCTGGCCCTGCCTGGGGCAGTCTGGTCTGGGACGCTCCAGGACTGGCTAAAAAGCTATGATTCATGGTGTGTCTCCGCTGATGTACTTCCTGGCTCCCGTTAACTTTGGGGATCTTCTTGTAACTGCCTGGCTGTGACCCAGGGACAGTCCTCTACAGTGTCAGAGCAGTGTGGGGTTTCTGCCTGTCAGCAGTGCCTCCTTTGAAAAGGAAAATGGAGCTAATGTAATAACACAGCCCGGGTGGCCGTGTGTGACCTCTGGGGATATGTGCAGTGAGCATGTGGCCCCAGATCTCTGTCCTGCAAAGAAGAACGTGCTGGTGCAGCGTTTCCATGCTGGTGTGGGTCATCCTGCACAGCCCACTGTTTGCCCTGGTTGGCCAAAACTGCTGTCCTGAGCTGTGGCAGAGCCTCCAGCACTGTCTGGAAGCTGACAGGAACATCTCTTCTCTCCTTGTGCTCCAGGTGACCCTCGCAAAGATGCGCTCTCACATCTCATCCTGCACGAAGGTGCAGGAGCAGATGGCCAACTGCCCCAAGTTCGTTCCGGTTGTCCCCACATCCCAGCCTATTCCCAGGTACTGCCATGTGTCGGGTAAGGAAACGCGTCCCTCCTTGTTGGGCTGCACAGTCACCCTGGTCCCTTACAAGCCCTAAAATCCAAACGTGGGTTTTACTTTCCTCTGGGAAACCAGAGGGAGAAACATCAGCACCGTTTCCCTCCTGTCACCTGCAGCCCCTGTCTGCCCTGTATTTCAGAGTGTGGAGTGGGAGGAAGGACCGAGCAAACCAGGGTGGTTCAGCCTGCAACTGGGGTGGGAACGGGCTGGGCTGGTTTCTGCTATGCCTGGATATCACAGTGGGGGTGGCTGGCTTAGTTTGGAAGGAGTCAATCCAGTCCTTTCCTGGGGGTTCTGAGCTCGCCCTGGCTCTCTTTAGCAACATTCCCAATCGCTCGACGTTTGTGTGCCCGTACTGTGGGGCCCGGAACCTGGACCAGCAGGAGCTGGTGAAGCATTGCATGGAGAACCACCGCAACGACCCTAACAAAGTGGTGAGTGATGCTGGGAGGGGTTGGTTCTGTGCGGGGTAGCTCCTGGAAATCCAAATATGCCGTAGCTGATGCTGCATCCGAGGCCACCGGCATGCAGAGCTGTGTTTTCCAGCTGGCTTAGTTTGTTTTAGATCCCTTTGATGAGAGGTGGGGACCTGCCCCTGTTTGTTTTGTTAAGAGGCTTTCTAGGATGAGCTGCCTCCATCCCCATGTGCTATCAACCTGGGTGGTGCTGGATTTCCTCTCCCCATCTGGGTTGGCCACACTGGGTTGACCAGGGCAGGGAACTTGCAGCTTTATCGCTGTCTCAGAGGTGCTCACATGTGTGTGTAACTTGTCAGTGGCCTAAAAGCAGGCTGAGCCATGGGCCAGAGGCTCTGTCCACCAAGAGATCTGCTTGGGGGGGGTGAGGGACCCCCGTTTTAGCACATCCTCTGCAGATCCCACTCTGTCAGAAACAGCGGGAGCGCTGCTCCCCTCTTCAGGAGATAAGAGATGGAAGGGTCTGTGCCTCTTGGTCATGGTTCTCTTTTGTCCCTGCCTTCTGCAGGTGTGCCCGGTCTGCTCAGCCATGCCTTGGGGGGACCCCAGCTACAAGAGCGCCAACTTCCTCCAGCACCTCCTTCACAGGCACAAGTTCTCCTATGACACCTTCGTGGTGAGTACCTCAGCTGAAATGGGGTCATCTTCCCCCAGCCTGGAGGGGAAGGGGGCAGATCCTCCTTTAGGCTTTGTGGGAGGCACATGTATAGCCTCTCTCAGGAGACCCTCACAGCTGTGGGGCTGAGCTCCCCCTCTGCTCTGAGAGAACTCAAGCTGATCCTCATCAGACACACCAGGAAAACCTCTCTGAAGGAGGAGGAAAATCTTACTGCACCATGAAGATGAGCTGTTTCCTCCATGCACTCCATTAAACTCATCCCCTGAGGAGCTGTAACACAAAGGCCTTTTCTTTGAGGCTTCACAAGCAGTGGGAAGAGAACGGTACAGGCCTGGGGGGGGATCTGGCTGCTGTAGGTGAGCGGTGTCCATGGATCCCCTCTTGGGGAGCTGCTGACCATTCCTGAGTGGAGAGGGGGGGTGTGATTGCCCAGACCTGGCTGCAGGGACTGAGGGGAGGTTTTGTCAGCATGGTACCTTTATTGCAGGGCCATTAGAAGTCAGGGAAAGGAACCTCCAAATACTTAGAGAGAAATATCCCCGTTTAGGGAGCGATCACTGTGTTGTATAAACCCAAACTGGAGTGATGGAGAAACCTGTGACCCTGCTAGAAAGCTTTTCCCTTTGGGCACAGCTGCTGGCATGGGCATATTTTGTCCCTGCCCTCCACCACGTCTAAGAGCAGGGCTGGTGTTGGCAGATTCCAGGCTGGAGAGGGACTGTGGGCACAAAGGATGCCCCAAGCAGCACGGCATTCCTGGGACACACATGCTGGAGGAACGGGAAGCTCGGTGTCACCATAAAGAGCAGGGAGGGCTCCTTGGTGCTTGATGTAGAATCTGTGTCCTGGCTGTACCACTTATGACCGCCCCTCTCTGATTTTAGGACTACAACATTGACGAGGAGGCAGCGTTGCAGGCAGCCCTGGCACTGTCACTGTCCGAGAACTGAGGGTGACTGGGGAGCATCGGACCCCCTTTTGCACACTCAGCCTTCCCACTGGGGAGGCACGGAGCTTATCAATCCCCTGGAGACCCGCTGCTGCTGCTCTTCCCTCTCCTCTCTGTGCACATCCCACCTTGTTTAAGAAGGTGGAGTGTCCTTATGTCGAGCTGGACCGGTGAGTGAGCAGAGACTTCATGCAGGGAGGAGAGAGGAGTCGGCACCGGAGGGATGGGACCGTTCCTCCATTAGGCATTTCATACCCATATACAGAGTATATACCTGTGTCCAGATCTATTTATTATTAGATGCTTTTTGGCACCGTTTGTCTTCATGCTCTCTGTTGCAATTGAATAGGTACGTCAAACCTGGATGCATTTAATGCAGAAATGCCCTAATTGGAACCTGCAATCATCCATGTCCTTTGTGGAAAGGAAGAAAACGGCACGGAGCATCCTTTGGGTTTTGAAACTCCACAAGGTTATTGCCAGAGACATCGATCTGTCCCGTCCCCAGTGCTCCTTCCTATGCTGCCCAGGCCAGGCTGAATCCCAGGGCAGGACGGTTGTGCTCATGCTGACAATGGGTTCGGAGGAGTCCACAGCAATGGCATCCAGTGAAACTCTCACCTTTCCCATTTTGTACCGGCTCTTGTGATACTGAGTTCTTGCGTTTTTCTACATGAATCAGCGTGATGCCTTTTCCACGTTTTATAGAGCGGGAACAGAAGCTGTTAACTCTTCACACTGCAATATCCGACACTGAGGACAAGAGTATTTTTATGGAACATTATTAAGAAAGTCTATTTTTAAAACAAAGAATACCCCAAACACACAAACACGCTGTGGGTTTGAAATCAGGTAGGAGGCAGTAGCCGGACCCTAGACTGATTTTGTGCCTGGATGTCCTCTGGCTGTTTCTGACCCATTCCCTTCCCTTGTTGGCATGTTGTGATACAGGACGTGCTGGGTCAGAGCAGCACCTCTTTGGCTGCCTCTTCAGGCTGCCTTTTTGAGGAGCTGCAGCATTACTTGTGTTCTCCAGCATCTGCTAACCGTGTACAGTGGTCAGGCTTGGGATGGCTGAGCCCTTGCAGGCCTTGTTCCGTGGCACTGCTCAGTGTGGTTTTGGTTTGTGAAGGAGCAGGCAGGTTAGTTGTGGGGTGTTGGTATTCACTATGGAGCAGCTGGACTGTGTCTGGGTGATGGGTGTGCAGGAGGGATGTCTGCCTGTGCAGGATCCTATCCCCAGCACTGGGCATCTTGTCCCCCTGAAATAGGGGATTGCATCTCCCTTCCTTGGGAACAGGGCACACATGGGCAGATGTTGATCCAAGAGATGCTCCATAGCATCCTGGTGACCTGTCCTCTTCCATGTCCCCTTCCTGTGTGCCCTCACTGCCTGCTGCTGGTGGGGTTTGCTCTGCTGGGCTGGGAGAGGGTGGAAGTGGGATCTCCACCTGCAGGCCTTGGTTGTGCTGCTGCCAGCCTGAGCATGCCCCCCTGTGCAGCAGAAATCGTGTCCCTTATGAAGGGTCTTCACTGGTGCTTGGGGAGAGAAGCTTTGTGCTGGGGCCCTGCCACCCTTTGGAGTCTCACCAGTGACTGGATCAGCCCAGGGCTCTCAGTGAAGGACCTGTGATGCACGGTACCTTCCGGTGAGGGTTTGCAGGGGAGAGGTTTGGGAGAGCAGTCCCTCTGCATGTCCCTGCTTGGTTTATCCGAGGCTCCAGCTCTGCACTAGCAATACTGTCCTGGTTTTCACCTTTGATTTGAATGGTACTGGATGGTTTGGGGGCTGTGAGTTCCCCATGCTGCCAGCAGCTCTGTGAGGAGCATGCAGACTATGGCAGGGAAAGGGCTGGAGCTGCTCTGCTCCCCTAGCAAGGAGGGATGGGGTCTTCTCTTACCAGCACTACTGGTACCTGCCCAGCCAGGAACGTGGTTCTGGTGGGATGGGGAGCACTGGTATCTCCAAAGGGACCCATGAGGGTCTCCTTGTCCCATCCCTAGCCGGAACACTCATATCCTGAAGCAGCCTCCATTGGCTCTCACTTGCAGGGAGCTCCCTGTCTCTGGGACAGCACTGTTAACCTCTTGTCTCCTTCCTTCCTTCCTTCCTTCCTCTTCCTTTCTGCCCCACAGCGCCAGAGCCGGGGTGAAAGAGCTGATTTTGTAAAGCACTTTAAGGCGCAGGCAGGCACTGCACGGGCAGCTCCTGCCTCTCCCCACGGGGTGCTCTCCGGCCGGGATGTGCCGGGAATGCCGCCGTGGTTCGTCCGTGTGTTCCCCGTGACTTTTTGCATATCCAGAACTTTTACTGTTTTTTGATGAAGAATCAGATCAATAATGTATTTGTAGCAAACCATTTTTCTCAATAAAGGCAGTTTCATCCATGCCTGGTCTCCCTTGTGCCATCAGTGCTGTGTCTTTGGGATGTGGGATGGAACCATGGGGTGCATGCCCCCAATCCTGTCTTCTCGGGTTTCTCCTTTCCCAAACACAGGGCTTGGGTTTGCAGCTTTGTCCTTATCATCTCCTCCTGTTAATAGCGATGCTGTTTGATCCCAGAGCCAGGCACTGCCAAACCTGGTGTGGGGATCCCCCCATCACATCCCAGCTCTGTGTCCTGCCATCCCTGGCACTCGAAGACAGGACATGGGGAGGGCGCTTGGCACCATGTCCTGTCCCTGGAGCCGCACTGGGCACTGGCCAGGGGACCACGTCGGGTGTTCCTTCCCCGGGTATCCCAGGGAGGTGTCCTGGCTCCGAGCCCCATTGGGGTTCTCCAGGGACATGGGCTGGCTCTGGCCAATCCCTGCAGTGAGGAGAGACCGATCCAGGGAGCAGCCGCTGGTGCCCCTTTGGAGCGGTACAGGGTTCACCCTTGTCCCAGGGCTCCTGTTGCCCCAAGTGTAAGTCTTGGGGACACGATGGCCAGGGCTCATCACACTGAGGAACCCCCTTATCTGCCCCCCGAACAGCCCCTGTGAGGCCTTCCAGGGCCAGGAGGGCATGGCAGCAGAGGGGACGGATGTGTGGCCATGCAATGGTGGGCACCACCACCACCGTGTCTGCCTGTGCCTGCAGGGAGAAGGGGTGCTGGGGGTCCCAATGAGCTGAGGGTCTGCTCCGTCCTGACCCATCTCACGCCATGGGGACGCTACAGGCAGTGGGATCCCATTTGTGGTGGCAGCACTTGGGGACACGACTGTCCCCAGCGCTGTCCCTTACACCTGCAAGTGGCTGGCCCAGTGCTAATGAGCCCTGGGTCCTTACAGAACCTACTGGTGCCTGCAGGGACACAACAGAGGGACACGGCGTGGGGACACATGAGCAGAGGAAGTGTGTTCCCTATTGCTGGCACGGCTTTCCCTGCTCAGCCAGCACCGTGTCCCACCAGCCCTGGGACAGGATCCAGCTGGAATCTCACTGCCGGACCCTCTATGTGTTCTGTAGAGCATCTTCCTCCTGTCCTGCATCCCCACAGCTCCCAGCCCGGAGGGGGATTACAGCAGGGCCCCTAAAAAGAACCCTGGTGCCATGCTGGGGTCTGGCCTGGCCAAATGGGGCTGAGATGGCAGAGATGGTGGGGACAAGGACATCCTGCAAGTGGCCCTGAGCATCCCTATGGCATGGCCAGTGTCTGGATGATGGCAGTGGGACTACCCCCACCGCAGGGGTCCCAGTGCCATCCCTATGACCCCAGTACATGGTGGTGGGGACCCTTGTGCCAGGGCATGGAGGGGGGGACTGGCTGGATGAGGTGGGTGTCAGAGGAAGCTGCTTTATGCATCCCTGCTGCTAAATCGGGTCCCACAGCTGAGGGGAAAGAATCCCACATCCCGGAATAGCTGCGTGCCGAGTCCTCCGCTCCCACCCATGGAAAATGCCTATAAATACCGGGGTGTGGGGCCAGGGACCCCTGCCCTGCCACCAAGGGAGCACCACGGTGTCACCCACATCCCCCCCAACACCCGGAGCTGGGGGTATTTTATGCTGCAATGAGTGACCACAGGAGGGGGGTGACACAGGCAGTGGATCTGGGTTGGGGGGTGCCCATAGGGATGAATGGGGCCACCCAGGCGCTGCTGTGCTGAGGGCATTGGGAGCACTGAGAGGGGAATGGGAGCACTGGAAGGATGCTGGGGGCACTGGGTCCATTGGAGGGGCACTGGGGTATTGGGGTACAGCACATACTGGGAGCACTGGGGGCTGTGAAGGTGCTGGGGGCACTGGAGGTACTGGGATCCTGAAGGCTCTGGGAGCACCAGGGAAGCACTGGGGATATTGGGAACATTGGGATGGGATGTGGTGTAGTGGTACTGGGGGCCCTGGAGACAGAGGGTGTGCTGGGATAACGGGGAGAGCTGGGGCATCAGGGACAGTGGAGGTAATGAGAGAGCAGGGAACACTGTAGTAGCACTGGAGAACTGGGGTTTGGAGTTTTGGGAGCATTGGGAACGCTGCAGGGATAGGGAACACTGGGGGCACTGGGGACAATGGCAGTACTGGGGGGCACTGGGGGCACTGAGAGCACTGGGGGCAGTGTGAGCAGTGGGAGCACTGGGGGCACTGGGAGCACTCGGGCACTGGAGCACTGGAAACATTGGGGGACACTGGGAGCGCTGGGGACACTGGGGGCACTGGGGAGCACTAGGAGGCACTTGTAGTACTAGGGGCACGGGGGGCACTGGGAGCACTGGGGGCACTGGGGGGCATTGGGGGCACTGAGGGGCACTGGAAGCACTGGGAGCACGGGGGGGCACTGGGAGGGGCACTGGAAGCACTGGGGGGGCACTGGAAGCACTGGGAACACTGGGGGCACTGAGGGGCACTGGGAGCACTGGGGGCACTGGGGTGCACTGGAAGCACTGGGGGTATTGGGAGCACTGGGGACACTGGGAGCACTGGGGGCACTGGGGGCGCTGGAGGCACTGGGAGCACTGGGGGCACTGGAAGCACTGGGAGCACTGGGGGACACTGGGAGCGCTGGGGACCCTGGGGGCACTGGGAAGCACTAGGGGGCACTGGTAGTACTAGGGGCACTGGGAACACTGGGGGCACTGGGAGCACTGGGGGCACTGGGGGGCATTGGGGGCACTGAGGGCACTGAGGGGCACTGAAAGCACTGCGAGCACTGGGGGGTACTTGGAGCACTGGAAGCACTGGGGGGCACTGGAAGCACTGAGAGCACTGGGAGCACTGGGGGCACTGGAGACACTGGGAGCACTGGGGGCGCTGGAGGCACTGGGAGCACTGGGGGCACTTGGAGCACTGGGGGCACTTGAAGCACTGGAAGCACTGGGGACACTGGGAGCACTGGGGGCGCTGGAGGCACTGGGGGGCATTGGGGGCACTGAAGGCACTGAGGGGCGCTGGAAGCACTGCGAGCACTGGGGGGTACTGGGAGCACTGGAAGCACTGGGGGGGGCACTGGAAGCACTGAGAGCACTGGGGGCACTGGGAGCACTGGGGGCACTGGGAGGCACTGGAAGCACTGGGAGCACTGGGGACACTGGGAGCCCTGGGAGCACTGGGGGCACTGGGGGGCATTGGGGGCACTGAGGGCACTGAGGGGCACTGGAAGCACTGTGAGCACTGGGGGGTACTGGGAACACTGGGGGGGGGGGCACTGGAAGCACTGGGAGCACTGGGGGCACTGGAGGGCACTGGGAGGGGTACTGGAAGCACTGGGTGGGGCACTGGAAGCACTGGGAGCACTGGGGGCACTGGAAGCTCTAGGAGCACTGGGTGCACTGGAAGCTCTAGGAGCACTGGGTGCCCTGGGACAACTGGGGGCACTGGGGACACTGGGAGCACTGGGGGCGCTGGAGGC